GACCTGGTCCTTCTTGTGCCGTCACTCTTCAAACGTCTCACACCGACCACAGGGCACCGGACGGAGGCGTAGCGCGAGTGCGCAGGGGTAGTGGGGGGAACCCCACACCCCAAACGCCGTGCAAGCAAGCAAGCAAGAGAGCGAGGGAGAGAGCAAGCAAGAGAGAGAACGTCCATTGGGGGGACAGCGATCGCTACTCCCTCTGGCTGTGTTGAAGAAATAGATATTGCGAAATTGGCAGCAGTAGAAAACGTTCTTGGCAGATTTGTGGTGGAGCTGGCTTTCGAAGGGACTACGGACCGGTGCTCGCCCGCGTACGAGGGGTAGGTTAGCTAGGTTTGGCTGTGTGGAAGAGAAAGACTTCCACATGCGAGGAGTCTGCAAACATGGATCCTGGGAGCACTGACAAAGGGGCGACTGCACCTAGTTCCTAGTGTTGGTACGTCGATCCTATGCTTAATTGAGAATTTGAAGGCAGTCCGTGCATCAGGTCAGACTTTTCAGTGTCCTCCACTCCAATACGGGGTGGGGTGCGCACTACGGGGGCGGGGGGGGGGGGAGATGGGCAGGGAAGCCCTCCTCTTCACCTTCAGAAAGAAAGATGGTGACTTCCCTTTACTGCGAGGCTGCCCAACTTGATAACACAGCTGTGCGGTCGGCCGCTACAGTTCGTGGCCAAGGACCTTGCAATTGAAGCTTAATTCTCAAGTCCTCCGTTCCAAACGGTGCTGTGGTCGAGGAGGGCAAGAAGTCCGAGTTTGCAGCCGTGGGGGGCACAGCCTCAACGCAATCTTTTCCAGACTGCAGTGGCAGTTGGCCATCATGAGGTATGCTTCCCTCCGGAATCCATCAAAGAGTTTGGGCCTCACTGAGTATGGCTAGCTCGGGCTTCGGAGTTGGAATCAATACTGTACAGCTGCATTCTTCCGGCAGTGTTCGCCTGCAAGACTTGACAGTCGCAGAAATCAAGAGAAGTGCCCAAATTGCACATGTAGATTTTGCTTGTTCTTTGCCCCAGGGAGCTTTCGGTCAACTCAGCACGGGAAGAAGTTCAGCTGGCTCTGAAGTTTAGGTTATCGGAGGTTCTGTTGTTGGTGATGCGCAGAAGCTGACTGTGGCCTAACATGATGCCGAGCTCAGGCTTCGCCTGCCACTGGGCCCGGCACCGGCCCAGCCACCTGTCCTGGCTGGGGCCAGCGCCTCCGTGAGCCTTGCCCATGCGCAGTGGCCTCGTTGTGTCGTTACACTTGGATGTCTTCGAGTCCTGTACTTCAGAACAAAATGGCCGGATGGGTTGTTGCAGCGTGCACTTCTTATTGACATTAAAGGTCACTCATGAACAAAGCTTGACTTCAGGTTCAGTCTGGGTGCACTCCTCGTCGACTTTGCAGGAGAGGTCATCGTTCTGCCCTAAAAGACCACGCATCAGATTTCGAGACCCACCGGGGTTGAATCACCAAGGCTCGGCCGAGCTCGCCGTACCAAATCACCTTCTTCCTCCCAGAAAAGAACACCCGAAACGAGGAGGACTGTGTGTGAAAGTGTTCGGATTCTCAAGTTACTGGAAAAACTCATGAAGGAGAAGCAAAAACAAGTGAAAGGCTTGCTCGAAGCTCGCAATCCGCTTGGCCTTGGTCCCAGGAGCTTCCGAAAGGAGTCCGTGTACGGCATTGAAGTAGGAGATATCTGAGCTCCGGCGAGTCTCAGGCTTTCCCTGTCATATGAACGCCGGTGATGACTTCTTCTGCAAACATCCTCAGTGTCTATCGCGTTTGCCACAAGTGTTGCGCTTTGCTTGCTCATGAAATCAGCTCGCCAAGAAGGACGGCCGTGGGTACTCGTAGGAATTAGAATAATACAGATGTAGTTCTGAGCAAAAGTCATGACTTTCTAAGAAGCTTTATGTCTCGAGGCACGGCTTCCAGCCTGCAGCTGCTGAACTCCAGGCGGGAAGTGCAAAGGAAACAGATCGCCGTTCCCGGAGCTTCTCCGAGGACAGCTGTGCGCGCGACAGGCCCGACTTCTAGCCTGCACCATGCCGGCAACAAAACAGCTCCAGCTTTCAAGAGCACTTCTGTTCTTGCATGTTGTATGCATGGCTGCGGCAGGTGAAGAGGTCAAGCAATATACAGGGTTTTCTGATTTCTAGGGAACGTGAAGAATCTGCCATAGCGACACCCTCTTGAATTGTCCTCGGAGGCCGCATCCCGGCACTATCAATGTCCAGGGATAAACGCTTAATCCTGGAAGGGCTCGCTTCGGATTCTGGATGCCTTCTGAGGCTTTGCCAAGCCCAAAGGCATGAATGCCCGCGAGTGCCCAACAGCCCGCAACCTAAACCCCTGAACCCTAAAAAGCCCCAAAGCCCCCAAACTCTAAGCTTTAAGCACTATTGGCCCTAAGCCCGGTCAGAGCTAGAGCTTGCGCTGATAGGATACGCTCTGCTACCAGTAGCACACTAAACCCTCAGACGTAAGGATTTAGGGCGAGAGGGAGAACGAGTTTACAGGGGAGTCTAGGGCTTGGGCCTGAAGATTTCAGTGCTAATCACAGACCTTAGGTAAACGAGGCTTGAAAACACCACTCTGCTTTTGGTCATGGTGTCTTGAAGGCTTTGCTGTTGACATCTGTCAAGCTGTCAGATCAAGATCAGAGCCAGAGCTTGCGCTGATACGATCTTGTACTTTGCAACTGCTACTGCACCGAACTCACCGAATCCCCAAAAATCCCTAAACGCCCCGGCCATGAAGTGCGCGTTGGATGACCCAACAGTTGCACAGCTGGTCAATAAAGGAGTCAAGACGACCTTTACCCAGGAACATCAGCTCGCGGTGTACTTCGTTCCGGGTGTGCTCGATGAAGCGGGTTACTGTTGGAACAAAACGCAAAAACTTCAGCTTCCGTGTTCAAGAGCAGATGTGGGTCATAAGCCAAACCAAGCAGCGGATGGTTCCGGTTGCAACCTGGCGGGACCTCAAGCGATGGAACGTGGCGACTGGCAGTGTGAAGGCACCAGTACAAGTGCTGCCGGTCAGGCTTCAAGAGACAAGAAACAAAGATGCCGCTGCTAAAGTCGTTGCTCTGTACATATTCACATTCCAAGGACAGCTCAAAGACCTGTCTGGATGCTACGAATACTTCGGCGAGGACGCAACAGCCCCTGCTTCAATCGCTGGCAGAAGCTTCAGCACTTCGTGATGAAGTCCGGCGAGGGACTCTGGGTCATCTGAGACAAAGACGCCAAGGACTTGCGCACAAGCAACAATCTTGCGCATTTTGCAGGCCCAGACAGGACCGTGGAGAAGGCCGTTTGCCAGGTGGACAAGTGGCGGGAGCCTGCTGCACCTGCATCCTCGTCCACGCCGAGTGTTTCCACGCGGCCGCCTTCTTCAGCCTCCGCGTCGCCTGCTGCGCCCCCCGACATTCCACCCAAGCGGCGGGTTCGCGTTGTTCGTGCGGACTTCACCGAGGTGCATAGTCGCAGACCCCGCCCTCTCCTGACAAGACAGCGCGAGGACTGCGACCTTAAAGTGATCTACAAGGTCTTCAGGAGACAGGTCTACAGGCTTTCTGGTGCCGCTTGGGCTCTTCATGGCCCGAAAAGGGGGACCACTTGCTAGGCATGGGAGCTTCGGAGACAGGCGGCCGCCAAATCAGAGCGCAGGCGACTTTTATGGACGGATGGAGCGATTCCGTCGTCGTTCACGTTGCCGGTGCATACTTATACTGTACCACCGCTGTGTCTCTCTGCTTTAGGTCATGGTGTCTTGAAGGCTAAGCTGTTGACATCTGTCAAGCTTCAGGTGTCTTGCTTTATACTTTCAGTTTCCGGGAATAACTGAAAGACCTTTCTGGATGTTACGAATTCTTTGGCCAGTGCCACAACAGCCCTTGCTTCAGGGCGGAAGTTTCCGCAGCTCTTCTTGTGAAGTCCGGCGCTAGACTATGTGATACAAGGCAAACCTCACGGATGTGGGCTAAGCCCTTGTCATTGTGACTGCCCGACGGAGCTTGGAGAAGGCATCTGTGTGGACGAATGGGTAGCTTTCATCCTCCTCCACACCGCCTCCTCGACGCCTGCGCCTACGCCTGCCGAAGCCACTCCCGCCACTCCAAAGCCGAAGCGCAAGGTTGTCATTGGACATGCGATCGCCTCCGTGACATCAGTTATACACTCTTCAAAAGAACGGCGTATGTCAGGATCAAAGATCGCATCAACTGCAGCTCCAACCAGGAAAGCATAGCAACGCACTGTGTGACGTTGCGTTTTTCTCATTGTGCAAGTTGACGAGCCTTGTCCGTGAACAACGGTTTCACAGCCTGTAGAAGGAGGGTCACATAGCATTCGCAGGGTCAGGCACCTGCCGATCTCACAGGATGGCGTGGGCAGGACAAATTTGCAAGTGCACGCAGCGCCGGAAGGGCCATCGGCTGTGCACAGCGACATGTTACCAGCTGCAAGGTGTGACCATTTTCAATGCAGCAGCGAGCTCAGTGTCCGGATACAGCAGATCGGTGGCCTTCACTTCCGGTCTGAGGTTGAGATCCTATATGCCATCGCTGCCGTTTGCCACGAGCTTAGCAAGTGAGCACGGCTCAGCTTACGCTGCAGCGCACGTGGATGCTGTGGCCTGCGCAGGCCCAGACCGAACCATAATGTCCGTCCGCTTGGGCCCGGGGCCTGCAGGCTAGATAGTGCACAAGCGCAAAAGTGCTCTGCATTTCGGTTCCACAACGAACAGGAGAGTCTCCTGGAGCCCCGGAACACATCACTGCTGTGAAGGCAGCTTGGGGTGTGGTGAACACCGTGGTGCGCGAACGTTATGTGAGATGCGGTGAGGTCTGGGGCTGGGAGGTAAGCCTCCTTGGAGACGATCGCGGCGACGGTTCCGGTGTGCCTGCGGAAGCGGCGATTGAGGCAGAAGAATGCTGTCGAGAAGTCACTAGAAGTGGCTCGTGGGGCGACTCCGTGATGTCGGCAAGCTTTGACATGCGAGGCCATGTCTGCGGTGCGGAAAAGCATCAAGGATGCCATGAGAGTCAACGGGCGGGAGCCTCTCCGCCAGAAGCCGGAAGAGGACATCATGTCCAGCGGAGCTCTGAACTCCAGGTCGGAAGAGACGCCGGGCCCAGCTTCATCCTTGTCGGGTTGCGGCCGAACGGGATATCAGAGCACGGCCCCGACTCCGCATAGCCCCAAGGCAGGAGACGTCACGTCACGCAAGCTCCAGAGAGAGAGGCCTGGCCTATACTGTTGCTGCAGTGCCTTCATCGAAATAGCCAGAACTCTCGCTTTTCACGGCAGGTTTGAAGCCGAGATGCCCTCAAAGGTCTTGGATGGGCTGCTCAGTCTGGTGGTGGAGGTGCCAAGCCGTTACAAATCCAATGGCTGCTGTCTCGATCCGAAGGCCTCCGAGCGCCTCGCCAGCACCATTGATCCAAAGATGCGAATGTCGGTCTCGCTCTTGGCCCATGTCCGGACTGTTGCACAGCGATGCACAGCGCACAAGCTCTCCTCGAGCTTCCAGGAGTCGTACGCGGGATCCTCAAATTGCTTGTGCTGCCTACAGAATGAGGACAGTTGTGCCAACTCTGGCAGGCTCGAGGACGGAAGCGTCGAGAGAAGAAGGCGATTCAACTTACCGTTTTGTGTGAGTGACAAACGAAGCACCAGCCCCCTACTTCCCAATGGCCCGTCTGCGGCCCCCCAACCCCGACTACTCGCCAGTGTGGCCCCGTCTAACAGCCGCGAGCTTGGGCTGCCAGATGTGATGCTCGTGCTTCTCACCTAAACCCTAGAAAATCCTTTAGGGGGAGGGTGTTTAGGGGGTTTAGTTGCGGGGGCTTGGGGCGCACCCTAAACACTAAACCCTAAACCAGCACAGGTAGCAAAACTTCCATATGGTGTTGCCGAATTTGTTGACGCTTGTCTTGTATGGTTGCATGCCCGCAAGTGTATCAGCAGGCGACGTGGGCAGAGGTCCTTTTGGCTGGGGAGGCAGGTAGCAGTATTGGCCAGTGAATGCAGTGCCGGCTGGCAAACGACATATCATCCGCAGGAGACTGGTTTCGTTGACTTCTTGCGGCCGTTGGCTTGGCACTCGGAAAAGTGCTGCTTGCGCGTTTTATGGCGTGCTTGTCGTGAGGAGTTGAGCACGGACCCTGATGTGGTGTCGAAGCGCGAGAGTCGGAGGATTAGGCCTTTGTGCGACGGGAGTCCCACGGCAGTGGCGAATGATGTCTGTGTACGATGCTGAGAAGGATCGGCCAAAAATCGCCAAAATTCCGTTGCCCTGTTTGCCAAGAGGCCAGCCTCACTGCAGATTATATGATTTGTGTGCAGTCATCCAGCACATGTGCCTGCATGCGCCTGTGCTCTCGTCACTCGTCATGTTGCCTTGAGTGTGCAGCCATGGTCCAGTTAGTTTTTCCCCAACATTCTCCAAGGATGCTGTAAATGGTGCACTTCTGGCATGCTATAAAATGCCGTTTGTCCTTTGCCAACTGCATGAGATGCGCCACGGCTGTCTCGTCTTCTGTTGCTGCTGTTGTTACTTCTTAGGGGCCCGTGAGATTGAGAGAGCAGCGCTGTGGACTTGAGATTGAGAACTAGTTTCTGATTTGTATCAGTCCCAAGTCCGGGGAGAAACAGGTTCTGCTGGACGAAACTGGCGGCGTCATTTCTGTAGTTGACACGCTTTGTCAACTGAGCTGGAGCATCGTCACGGAGCGACAGTAGCTCAGCAGCAGTCGCCACGGCACGGCCTGTTGCGGTCAGGTTGTGCACCTCGGGCGCCGCGGAGCTTTGGTGAACAGGTAAGCTTCTCGCGTGGATTTAGGCGCCGTCCTCTTTAGCTACTGGTATTCCATCGCCTTGTATGTGTTTTTGCTGACGACACTGCTCCGTGTTTCTGCCTATCGAGGTGTCCCCAGTCGTCAGTCCGATACACCATTTTTGGTTTGGGCCTCCCTGTTTAAACTACATGATCCCTTCTGTAGGGAAAAGGGTACCCTGACTATGAAGGGGTTGTTGCCTGTGGATGGCACGGCGACAGCAGGGTGGGATCGTTCTCCGCGCGGCTAGTATCGGCCAGTATTGCTTTCGCTGCAGCGTTGGACCGTCACGAAGGCTGTGCATGTCGTCCATCACGGCACGGTGGCTGCATGACGACTGAGATCCCTCAGCTACTCGCTGGGTATGCCTCAGTGCAGATGTGCCGCACAGGCTGTCCAGATATGTGAAGCTACGCGTCCGGTTTCGTTCTAAGCTGTGATGTCTAAGATGGCCACCATGGCATCATGGCTTGGTGTTTTTGTCGCATGCTACTTGTTTCTGGGGCCAAAGGCCCAAGCTCGGACATGTCTGGGTGTGGTCTGGGTCGTGGTGCGCTTCGTCTGTGCTCATGGACAACTGATTCTATGAGGGATTGCAGGCCTGGCTCTCACATCGCGCTCAGATGAGCTCAGTCATGATTTGGATGCAGCAACTTTCGCTAAACGGGCCTCACGTCAGAATTCTTATATTTTGGAGGTGCTGCTGAGGCAACGCTGCAAGCAGGGGCAGTACTCTCCTGCTCAATGTTAACCATGCAGAAGCTGCGTGTAGACCTCGAAGTCGAACTTCCATAGCCCGTTGCATTGATTGTATGGTCCCCCATGGCTGACAACGATGCTGCATCGCTTCGCCGCCTTCGCAAGCCTTTGCGGGACGCAGGCGTCCATTGTGCCATCTCTTTTCTGCTCCCTCTGGAGACTGGCGCAGCTGTGCACATGCAGAGGCTGTGGTCGGCCCGTCGAGCGGTTGTGGCTCGCACCGGCGCTGCACGAGCCTGGAGCCAGGTGAATGGCTGGCGCCAGGAGAGTGGCTCACGAGCCCAAATGCACCTCGGCCTGGCGAGGGCCTTTAACGGAGGGCGCAGAGAGAAGCTAACTCATGATAACCGGTGACTCACAGAGCTCTCCGTAGTCAGCTGACTCAGGATCGGTACATTGCAGTCTTGCAAGCAGACTTTCTCGAAGTCCTCGAGACAGAAACTCATCAAAGTCAGTGCAATCAGTGCAATCTCCGTACACTCTGTCACTTTGCATCTTTGCGAGGCGAGCTTCAGAACCCGGTGGGCAACTCCAGCTGAAGGCAGAAGAATTCAATCGACCGATGCTCAACAGCAGCTTGGAGTAGGATCGCAACGTCGCTCCTCCTGCAGCCGGCCAAGGGTGTCTTGACAGCTGCACATGTGGCGGATGGCAGCTTGCTTCTGGAAGCTGGCACTGATGGGGGTGGGCCGTGGATTCAGCATCTTCCACATCAAAGGACTGGGATTGCAGCTTTCTCTTGGGTGCAGGTGCGCTTCTTCATGAAAGCACACTCGGATCAGATCCTTGATCCAGCAGTGATCTTGAGTCTTCAGACTTACAGGAGCGTCAACATGCGCTTCACGATCACTGCCACGCGTGGTGGCGGTGATGCAGGTATGCCTCAGGGCGTACAGCTGTCAGAGTTTCTGCTCTGGCGTGCAGGCACTCAAAGCTGTTTCGGTGATTCTGCTAGCAATAGATGCCCAAAAACTAGCACATCAGGTAAGCCAGTCCAGCCCGCTGCATCCAACGTGAGCTGCACTGCCGGTGTGGGCCCCTCCTACCAAGGAGTAGTGAAGTGTAAGGCAAAAGCAAGCTGTATTGTACAACATCGTGGTAGTCTCGAAGACCGAAGACTTGTTGCAGGACCTCGGAATGCAGTGGATGGAAACTTGAGAACCAAGTGGTGGGTGTCATCGGAGCCCAATGTCACCCTGGTCCGTGACTTAGCATCTCAGACTCGGATGTGCTTATCGTGATATTCCGAGCATGGGACGCTTGCCTATAGAATTGAGTCGAGACACTACAGAGACTTGCGAGGCGATGTTTTTTCCGCACCTCCCTCGCGATGGACCCTTCCTCTTTGGCTTTACGACCGGCGATGACATGCCCTCACGAGATCCTGCGAGCCGGTCGCAACGAGCAGCAAGGCACCGGCTCTACGCCCTTCTGCCTCAGGTCCAGTGGCTCCTGGAAGCCTCGCTGGACGGACAGTCGTGGCTGGAGCTACACCGCCAAGACAGGGCTCGCCATTGTTCTTCTGCCTTCAAGTTGATGTGCAGATTGTTACCAGTAACTGTTTGTAATGCTAGTGCCCCAGGACACAAACTTTGCCACGCCGACGTCGCGGTTTTCAATGACGCAGCTCTTCGATGTTACGACGAAGTTTGCAGAGCTGCTGGGCCGAGCCGATGAGAGAAGGCAGTGGCCTCAGGAAACGTACGGTTTTTTTGGCAGAAGAGAAGTCTTTCCCACCACGGGCCAGGACCTCGCCTTCCAACGCTCTGCCGGTGGCCATGGTGTTGACGGACCTGGGTGCTCTTACACTCAAACAACGCCGGGCACTGAAACGCATAGAGATGTTACCAGTGCAGGAATGGGTGCAGGCACCAGGGCACGGTGCCACGATAGAATCTGATTGCGACCTGGCTGTTCGAGGCAGTTCATTCCTCAGCCGCGACCCTGTTTCCAATGACTCTCCCGGGATGGCTATCTGTTGAATGGGGTGGAGACGGCAGAGAGGAAAAGCCTCTCAACCGCTGTCATCACATCGCATCTGCCAGCTGCAGGCTGTACTACACAGTGAGCTATCGTGAAGTGCAGCAGGTAGCAAAACTGGGACACTAGGTATGCTTGGCTGCAGCTATGCCATGCTCGGTTCAAGAAGAACCACATGGAAGCGCAGCGTCCCGTGGGGCCGCCAGTGGAACCGCGGAGAAAGCCGAGTTGAAACCCGTTCTGTTCTTGAGCACACTGACGTCACTGAAGATCATTGAAGCATGGTTGTGGCTGTGTTGCTCTGTAGAAGTTTCAGGTGTTCGTGCGCGCGAAGGCCAGGCTTCAGACTGTGAACCCTGCTAGACATTGGTCTTGATCCGGGTCGTAATGTGACAGAACAGGCTTGCCGCAAGCATCTAAAGCAGACCGGTCACCTGTCTTGTACGCCTGGCCGCGCTCCCAGAGTCGCAAATGGCCCACGACAGCTCCAGTGGGGCGCCCGAGTTCCTGCGGTGAAACTCAGGACAGACCTGGAGGAGTCTGATCCAGGACAGGCCGCTTCAGGCAGCTCCTGTCTGTCGGTCGAGACTTCTGCGTGTCTATCATGTCTATAGACATGTGCCAAACTCGCGGTGGGTGCCCCCTGTGCGGCCGGGAGACTGAGAGCTGGTCGCGAGAGCACCGAGAGAGAACTTCGATGCGAAGCACGTTCCCAGATGTGGACACCTTTGCGTTGTGAAGACTTCCCATAATCTCAGCCGAGTCCTGGAACACCATACACATGGCTTCCCCGAACAAGTGTGATATATGCAGCGGTCATCGCTCGCACTCATTAGATGGGTAAGACATGGAAAGACTGGTTCGATTTTTAATCAGAGAGAGACGGCCAACCTGGTCGAACGAACAGAGATATGAGCACGTGCTCGTATTGACCTCAGTGCAGACCCTAAGGAGACGGAATTAATGAAGCGGGATTTTGTGCCGAGCGACCATGGCGGGTGCAAGCCCCTTCCCTCGCAGGAGAAGTGCATGCTTGAGAAGCTCATCCCGCACGAATGACGTGCCGGCTTCTTGAGCTGAGAACCCGCTGTTTCGGTGGGAGCTTTTTTCCCTTTGAAAGGGAGTTGTCAGTTGCACCCTCACTGCGCTTATGGCAGCCCGATTTGGTGAAGAAGAGGGCCCTGCGATCTGCTGACGTTCCGTGGTCGCTGGTGCCAGCATCTCACTGCAAACGTGTCTGGCCCAAAATGCGGGATGGCGAGCTTAGGGCTCACGTTGCAAGCCCCAGCAAGATCAACCCCCGAACGTCGTCACGCAAATCTGCACAACTTTGTATGTGTGGTTTGGAGTGGCAAGGACTAGTGCATACGCGCTTCTTTGGTCTGCATAATCATGTGTTCTGTGGGAATAGGGTTCTGGAATGTTCTGGATGATCAAGGAACTTATTCCTGTGAAGCCCGACCTGTGAATTTATTTCAACTCGTCGTTTTGCAGTCTGAAGTCCCTGCTACGATGGGCTTCAGAAAACAACAAGAGATTACGCAGGACAGCACGACTGGTAATAAGTGGAATGTGCATATTCAATTCGGGTCGTAAACCGTCTTAGCGAGCCCTCGGTCCAAGCTTTCATGCCAATCGCAAAGCTGGAAAGTTGCGCTGATGTTGGCTTCAGAGGACGGCGAAGAGATTACAATCGTGCTGACAAGCCTCTAGTCGACCAGTGCAGCTGTAACAATGAGCCGCTAGTTGCGTCAAGTGTCAGGCTATGCAGGTTCCACCCTGGGCGAGGGAGGCTGCCCGGCTTCCTTCTGCCCGATGGAGGGGTGCCCCTGTTTGCACAACTTGCAAGCGGCTTGGAGCTTTTTGTAGTCGTTCGAAGCTCATGCTGCGAGCCTCGGTCTGCCCTAGCCCTGGCCGTAGAAGGCTTGCAGGTATTTTTTGTGATGTTTGCCTTTATGCTCAATGCCCTCGATCTGTAGCTCGTAGTTTCACGCAAAGGTCAAAACAGCACTGCGGACACCTTTTTCGTTCTTATCCGGGCATTCGGTGACGAAGATTGGTGCAAGAATGAAATGTATGTCTCTGCAACAGTGTCTTACATCATTCGCATACCAAGCCCAACAGTGGTGACTCTTCTTTAACGTGCTAGTCGTGCTATGTAGAAGCCATCGCCCCTTGCATTGCGGCGTCGCCTAAGGTCATCTCGGCTGCATACCGGCATGACACGACTCCCCTGCGCTTGCCAGCCCCAGAGCCACTTCTCTCTTCCCTTGCTGCCTGACGTTACCTGACTGGGCAACAGCCGAGGTGACGCAGGCATTGATCGATTTCTGCGACACTGGCAAAGCAGACTGGGCTTCTCACAGTTGGACTCACTAGCATTGCATCCGTGCACACCGCAAAACCGTCAAAAGTCTTTATTCGCCGAGGCATTGTAAGTATATTTTGATGCACGAGACAGGCTGACAGAATTAGTGGAATTAGCTGCCCATGCGCGCGTTGACCCGCAACGAGCCGCTGGAACGCCACAATCTGCCGTGCACTCAGCAGACCTTGATTGAACGATTCCAGACCATCGCTGAAAGCATCTTGCAGCAAGGCCAGACAGCGCTCCCGGTGTTGTAGTGGACGGAGCTGGGTCGACTGAAGCCAATGGCATCTATGTTAGAACTGGCTTCAAGGCGCCTCGCCGCACTGCGAAGCGGGCAGAGACGAGTCCTCTCTTGGGTCGTGCCCACTGAGGTAGCCAACACCGAGGTTTTCCAGAAGCGCGGAACCTGCTTGGTGATGCTGAAGCGAGGCGATGGTGATGCCATGTCTTGATGTCAGCTTTGATGCCTTGCAAACTGCCGGGCTCGGTTTGCAGTATGATGGAGTTTACTGTTACCAAGGTGAGGGCTTGAACTGGAGCCTCATCAATCTGAACGGCCTCAGGGGCAAGAGTGACAAGGTCTCGTGTGAGTGGTAACTAACTAAATGAGTTTCTCTAAACATTGTCCGCCGACTTGCAAGAACGATGGCGAGGCCCCCAAAGAAGAGGAGATCAGCTCCGGGGTCTACACATTCTCGCCAGCAAAGCTCAGATGGAACTCGAACTCGACTACCTTGTACCAGGTGCGCGGAGACTGCGTGTACGTTTCGGAACAAGACTGATGACTTCGAAAGGGCATGGGATTTCAAGCGCTTTGCGAGTCTCGACGCAAAGGTCGCCCCAAGCTTGCACAGCAGAGACAATCTCCTTCCACCGCATGCAGGAAGCTTAGTGTGCTTAGTCAAAGCTTGGGCACCACTTCCCTGTGGCATGATCCTTGGCGTGGGGCCGAGGTGGGGTGGACGGTTGTGGATGGGCTTTCTCCAGCCCCCAGCGTCAACTTCTGCACCTCCGACAGTCTCAGAGCCTCGGAGAGGGACAGTTGCCGGGCCACATCCGCGGCGGCCTGGGCCTCCAAGGACCCGAGAAGTTGCTGGCAGCTGCGATCCCCGGGAAGCTCCTGACACGGATTGCAGAAACTGCTCCGAGACCTGGTCGGATCCATTCTCGCTAAACGAATCTCTTCAGAGTTTGTCTCGCATGTCTTTTGTCCTCGGACTGAGGACCGTCGCTAAAGTGCAGACCTCCATCCATCAGGCTTGGAGGCCGCGGCCAGAGCTGGAGCCCTGGTGCCATGAAGATCTACCTGTGCCAAGCTAGGACGGAGGCGCAGCAGACGCTCCCGCGCATCCTGCGATGGGGGACCAGCGAGACTTCTAAAGCTCGGAAGCAAGTGAAGGTGAAGGGAGAAGGGCGCTTGGCTCAGACCCTTTCGTTGCCAGGCCCGGTTGAGCACGATGCGAGCCTACCAACAGAAGCTTTGGTTGGTCTCTTGCGCCACAGATCTTCGCAGCCCGGCTGCGCTGCTCATGCCCGAGGGCGAAACCGTCTTGGTCCCAGCTCGGCCTGGAGAAGCTCTTAAGAAAGCTTAAAGTGCCAGATAATGCAAGATTTAACACGCAAGCGGCCTAAAGCAGTATCAGGTCATGGTGATCTACAGCCTGGTCATTGGAAGGCCCAGCTTCCACTTCGACTGGGGGCTTTCCTTCAATGAGAAGGAGCTCCGAGACACAGGCGCTCCCATGCGCACCCGAATTGGCGGCATACGCAGGAAGCACATGGAGTTGCAAGAAGCAGTTTCTTGAGCCAGCACCGTCAGGCAGAAGGATTGTGGAATCGGTGGAGCCAAACTCGCCGTTCGACCGCTGGAACATCTGGCAGATGGCCCCTTTGACGGCGCTTACTGCAACTTCAGCTGAAAGGGCTTGCCACCATGTGGACGCGGTCACCACCGGCCATGTGCAAGGGGGGGGGGGGCGGCAAGCGGTTTCGGACAAGCTGATTGGTGATAGTGGCGGTATGCGGTGAGCCGAAACCAGCAGGAAAAACGGCAAGTCGGTAGGCACAAAAAATAGAGTTGCATGACAATCGAGGGGGATCCTTCGTCTGAAACGAAAACGCCTTGTCCACCCAGGCAACTACTAGCAGGGAGAAAGGAGCTGTATGACGCCGTGTTGTGCATTCAAACAAGTAGGATGGTTGGGCGGGTGTCTTTTTGAAGCATGAAGTAAGATCAGGTATTAATGTATGCTGCTGCAGCAATTGGGACCGAGCCGAGCAGTACAAAAGAGTCATGTCTTTCCCACCCACCCTCCCTGCTTTCTTCTGATGCATCAAGGGACATGGGTACACGTCGGGATTTCCCCTCCATGTCGGAGGGGTTTGGGTTGACCTCTTCTTCCAGAACCTTGCTCATCTTTAGATTCCTTTATCCCAGCGTCTTTGATACTGGACAAGTTTCATTCTACGCCTTCACCATCCATAATATGCTGTGATCTACTTCAGTATGTTCCGGAATATTGAAGTTCTGGAAGGATGAGGCAAGTCGGAATGCCGACTCGCCGACAATGTTAAAACTACAAGAACAACCGGGGAACCAATACACGTTGGACAACGTACAGAGCTTTGTTGACATGATCACCACAGATGCAAACGTGAGCGGCACATTGACACTGTGGTGCGTAAAAGCGGGGCAAGTGAGGCAAGCCCCAATGATCCCCAATGTGTGGGAAGACTCACCATGCCGCATCAAGAGTCCCAGCTCTTCTGGATGTCGGCTTGCATGCTTAAGCTGGGAGTTTGTTCCTTAGCTATCAAGGCAATATGCATAAAGGAAGAACGCCAGCTCCTGCACAAGCAGCAAGCTCGCAAGCCATGGAAAGGTCCGTGGCCGGCCGGAGATGTGTGTCCGCGCAGGCGTGCAAGCCCTACTTTGGTGGCTTGTGGGATGTGGCCGTGCGAAAAGTCACGCCGTCGATCTGCGATCCGTCGGCCTAAGGACCAGCTGCTGAAACACAGTGGGGCCTGGGCCAAAGCCTCAGCTTCCGACTTGAACGATGGGAAGGGCTCGGTCGCTCTGTGTCTTTTCCTGAGGCCTACTTCGAGTGCCCATTGGAAAGCTCAGAAGGCCTGGCACGAGAAAGGGGTTGGCCACGCGCCCACGAGATCCCGCTTCCGGGCTGCTCTCGCAGGCTATGAGGACCTCCCGAGCATCACGGAATCCGACACCCTGGAAGGCTCTCTCTTTCGGACGTGCCATGTTTCTGAAGTCTGACGTGGCAACTCAGCTTATCAGGTGTTGGTGACACCCTTCTCGTTCTAGACTTCGGACGCTTCGAGCGAAGACCGTGCCCACCTGAACCCCCCAGGCCTGAGCTGACGCGAATGTGAACGCGCATGTTTTCTCTCACCTCTATATCATCTACGCTCCGGGATTTTGCTCGGAGGTTGGAGCCGTGGGAGGCAGGCTATGGCTTGCGAGTCGAAATCGTCGCTCCTGCCTGTTGAGAAATCTCAGAGCACCAGTTGATGCTCTTCTGGTGGCCGTGTGGCCGTGGCAGGATTCCAACTTAGCTGGCCCTTACCAGCCGGAAGCCTAGTGCTCGCCGTTATCTCTGCCCGCAGCACTCTGATCGAGGGAAGATGTGATCGCCTGGGCTCTGGTGCTGAAAGAGGATTGCCTGAGCTCTTCTGCGTGCTGTGTGTTCGCCCATGTTTTCAATGAGAATCAATGAAAATCACAGTTGAGCCTTTGCACTTTTGCAGGACCTAAGCGAAGCCGCGTTCGTTTCGACAACCCCTGGTAGCAGCCTCATTTACAATTAGCCTTTTCAGACAGACTGCTCTGTCTGCCATCGAGCTCAGGCAAATCGGAGACGTGCTGGCGTGCCTTCGACGGTGAATCGGGGAAGGCCTTGCGCAGCCTGCTCTGAGTCCCGGATTCATCGCGTTTGAAGCATTGTTGACATGAGAGTGTGCAGAAGCCAGAACTGTGTCATTGTATGCGCCCCTTGCAGCCAAACCGAGCTCAGACGCTTTGCGAAGCCTAGCTATTTCCAGCTGCACCTTGTGTTGTCTTGCATTGTAGTTCTAGACATTTGACTTTCGAATCTGCTGCAACCCCTGTGATAAACGAAACTTCAGCAGTGTGGCTTCAACGAGGCGAGCCAGTTCGCAGGTCCACAGAAGATGATGAAACAGTGAGCAATGTTTGCAGCCCAGATGCCAGACATTAAAGCAGTTGGAGGTGGCAGCAGGACATGTTTTCGTTAGACTGTTGCCATGGCGGTCTGTGACGACTCCGGCGCCTTGCTTGCGGAGAGCGGCGAGAAACTGTTGGACGGTGAGGATGAGGACGAGAAGGATGAGCAGGAGGAGGACCGAAACTGACAGAAGTTGGTTAAGTTTAGACTCTGTGAATGCTTCGCACCTGGGAGCAGGAATCTGTTCTGCAGCGGGAAATCTCTGTCACAGGCTACGGCCCACTCCCTGCTAAGAGTGCGAGACCCTAAAGCTGTACCGCGTGTCAGGCGGCGAAGCACGGTTGTTGGGTTTAGCCCTGGCGGACGTCTATGGCACCCGGGCCAAGAACGGCCTTGGCCACGCCAAGGCCCGCACGCGTTGGCCTGTCATGTACCGACCTGCCCACCCTGCCCTGCCCTTCCCTACCCTACTGCCCACCGACCAACCGAACCACCGACCTGCCTAGTATGCATGTGTGCATATGTGCATGCATGTCACGTGCCCAGTAAGTAATCGTGCATGTCTGCAGTTCGTCTGCTTTTGGGTCTGTCCGTCTGTATGTCGTGTAAAGCACTCGTGCGTGTACGGACAATCGCCAGTGACCCACCGAAGACTTTCGGTTCGATCGCCTAATTTCCCTCGCCATTTCGCCTCTCGTCATGGCTTCCTCCGCCTCTTCGCCTGCCGCCTTCGACGCTGAGTTCGCCGACTTTGCGGCGGCGGCTGGCCTGGATGTGGTGGGGCATACTACTTCGACCACCTCGCCTACTACGCTGTCGCTTTCGCTGAAGGAGACGCCTGCGACGGAGGACATTTGGGAAATCGTTCGGTCCGGAGTTGGAAGTGGTCGCCGCTATCGAGCCAGACCTTGGCGGCTACAACACCCTCGCCGCCTGCGTCGGCCTCGCCTGGTGTGGTTGATGGGGCACTGGACCCCGGTCTCTCCACGAACGAAACCCTCGCCTTTCGCGCAGGATGTGGCCGCCAAGCCCGATCCAGGCGGAGGCCGCGACAGTCCCGGTGCTTGCCGACCCATTGAAGGCACGCCGTTGGGCGGCAGTCGCAAATGGCCGTTGGTGGAGCCGAAGCCCATGGCATTCGTCAAGGCCTCCGCCGCCTCCGCCTTTCGTCCTTCAGGGCGACCTCTTCTTCGGCGGATCCTGTGACGCCACCTCCCGCCCATGACAAGATCAATTGTCTCCGCCTCTGCTGCATCGTGGCGCAGGCGGCCAAGGCTATTCCGCCAACCGAGCCGTCTCCGCCTCGAAAAACAGAGCCCGAGGCCGGGTTGTGACTGGCCAAACGTCGCCAGGTCGCCATCGTCTCGCGTCCGCCGTCCGCCCACAAAATTGCAGCGACAGCGGGTGTGCCACAGCCACATGCAATGCAGTTGGCGCCCAATGCCCGCACGGACTATGCGACCCGACTTTCTCGTCTCGACTCGGGCGAGTTCTACCTCCTCGCCTAGCCGCGCTGCGGGCCGGTGTTTCACATTGGTCCTGGGCCTCTTTTGCGGGGCTTGGATGCTTCGCCCGGCTGGGCACATCTCATCTTGCGCCCTCCCCGCTTGTCTGTCTCTCTGTCTCGCTGTCTTTCTGCCTCTCTGCCTCTCCGTCTCTCCCTCTCTTGGTCTCCTTGTCTCTTCGTCTCTCTGTGTCTCTCTCTGTCTGTCTCTGTCTCTGTCTCTGTCCCTGTCCCTGTCCCTGTCCCTGTCTCTGTCTCTGTCTCTGTCTGTCTCTTTCTCTCTCTCTCTCTCCCTCCTTTTATCTTCTTCTTCCACAGGGCATGGCGGGATGTGCGAGATCCCCCGGCCACTAGGGCCCCCCATATGTTATGTTGTTTTGAAGGGATGAAAGCGGCTTGCAGTTCACACACTTTGGTTCCCAAATTACATATTGTCAACGAGAGAGCAGCATGTTCCCCGTAAGGTTTGGACAACTGCATAAATTGAGCGCATCCCCTGGTTCTGCAGCAAGAAATTCGTGCATATCATTTGTGTGTACATAGGTAGTGAGTCCTCCGAACCATGCACATGCTCACGAGTCTGAGTTGTTTGATTGGTGACGCCCCCCTGTAAGGCAAAGTCAGACGAAGAGTACCAAAGTGGAGCGTGGGCAACGATAACAATCACTTCATGTTGGCATGGGGGTCACCTCCGCACAGCTCTGCTCTCAGAGGCCCCGGCCCTATGTTACAAACAACAGCAAGAAGACACGAAAGACGGTTTACTGGATTTCATGGTTCGTACTTGTATGCACCTGTCATGTCGAACACTTGCTTGAGTCACATGAACCATCTGAGCATGCAACACGATCAAAGGCACCTCACCATGGGAACAAAAAAGTAGTATTACCGAGAGTGAAGAGCAGATGCTCCACATCCGCTTGTGGCTGACTTCAGCGGGACATTCTGTAAATCACAACAACCGCAAGAAGCTCAAAGGACATGAGGCTGACACAGCAGCACTGCCTCCCCCCTGAAATTTTGCTCGATTCATTCTTTTGGGTTGGTCTGCTTGGTTGGTTTTGAGGGTATGACTACTGGAGGCGCACGACTTCATTGTTGGAGTACGGACAACCAAGCGAACAAACTGACAACGGGCAAGACGTTACCTAGTGCAAGGGTGAGACTCGTTCTTACCCTTATGCAGCTGGACATACTACGTGCAGCTTCACTGGCCCCGCTCATTTAGGTGGACTGCAAGAAGGCGACGACTTATGTAGCTGTCCCCCGAGTCAGAACTTTTGATTCCCCACCATCATCGTCTTCACGAGCTCTCCTTTCTCTCTGTCTCGCTGGCGGTTGCCTTTGGGTTGGGGTGGTCAGGCTCGAACCCGGCTCCAGGGCCATAATTAAAGACACCACAGTGTTGTTTGGAAACCCGAATCAGGTAACGATCGCGGTGAGCACTATTGTAGAAATCATCTTGGGATCGGTACCTGTAAATACACGCATAGACGAGGCTGAGCTGTAAGCCATTGGCGTTTTGGACGTTTCGATCTTCCAGCTTTCGCCAAGCAAGTAGCAGGCAGCATGCCGCAGTGCAGTTGAGTGCGTTGGGGGTGCATCTCAGGTGCATTTCAGATTTGGGTGTTCTGCATGAATAGTGCATTTCAGGAGTGTGTGTGTGTGTGTTAGGTGCATCTTCAACGTGCGCTTCAGCGTTGTCGGCGAGTGTGGTCGACAGGGTCCTGGTGGTCGAACCCCCGGAATAGGTCGCCAACGCTTGTACGCCGAAACTCATGGTTAAAGTCGGTCAAACAAAGACGGCCATTCTATGAAGACCAGCAGCTGAACCAGCAGCAAGATACAGCAAGGTGAGAGACCATTTTCAAAATTGATGCCGCGGGCTGCTTTCGTGCACTCCGAGGACAGGACCACAACTCTGAGCAAGCAATTGTCAGGGTTCAACCAGAGCATGCGGACAACTGGCTCGAGTGGCGCAAGTTGATTATAGCTCAAAGTAGCAGCCTGCAAGTTGAGCGCGGGAGCAGACACAATCGAACCCCCAGAATAGGAGGGCCAGAAGCCATAGCAACATATCCTGGTTCACGAAAATCCAGCCCGCGGCATGAAAGTGGTCTCTCACAATGCTGTATCTTGCTGTTGGTTCAGCTGCTGGTCTTTCTAGAATGGCCGTCTTTGTTTGACCGACTTTAACCATGAGTTTCGGCGTACAAGCGTTGGCGACCTATTCCGGGCGTTCGACCACCAGGACCCTGTCGACCACACTCGCCGACAACGCTGAAGCGCACGTTGAAGATGCACCTAACACGCACACACACACACACACACTCCTGAAATGCACTATTCATGCAGAACACCCAGATCTGAAGTGCACCTGAAAGGGCACCCGAAACGAACCTCAAATGGTCGAAGCAAGTTGGCAGTGCAAGCTTCACCATTTGTAAGACAAGCTCGTGCTGGCAAGTTGCGGCAAGCTTTTTTTGGGCTTGTGCTCCGGGATGTCATCAATACAAGAGATGGGAACCAAGGGCATTGGGTTGAGAGGCATTCGACGTTGTTCACGGAAGTTGTGGATTGTCAGTTGCAGGCAACTTGACGGCACGAAAACGTGCATTCGGCAACTCAACCTTTCTAAGTTGCAACTTAACTCTTGTGGTCCAAATCCAAGTCGTACAGCTCCGCCCTGATAGATGTACATGCACGCAAGTCCGACATACATGAGCATACAGTTCTCATATAGCAATAAGTACGTATCACATACGATAAGTTGAGGTAAGCTATATTTGCATATATGTATATTCTTGTACATGTATATATATATATACATATGTGTATACTTGCAGTGTGCCTATCTAAATATGTAGATATCTAGATTTCTAGTTATGTAGTCCTATATATATATATGGGTATACATGGATGTGAAAAGGTTTGTATCCATATATGTATCACCATGTACAGGTGTACACATGTGTATGTAAAGATGTTTAACTGCATAGATGGACAGATGTATATATGCAAGATCTATAAATGTATACAGGTGCTACAGGTGCATATGTATACACGTCTAAAGGTACGCGTGTGTATACGTACAGATTATGTATATATGTATATGCGCATGCACATATATAGGCATATATGCATATATGTATATGTATATGTATATGTATATGTATATGTATATGTATATGCATATGTATATGTATATGTATATGTATATGTATATGTATATGTATATGTATATGTGTATATATTATCTGCATTTGTGTATGCATGCATGCATGTATGTGTGTGTGTGTATATAGGTATATGTATATATCCCCTCGGGGGAATTCTTTTGTGACAGCCTTAGCAGTACTATAGGTCTAAACTTGTATGTACTAGTTGCTCCTGGTCCAGGGTTGGGGAGGTGCTTGATAAGCCCTAGCTATACAAACAGTGCTAGGAGTTCAGAATAGGCAACAGTTACACCACATGTAACCCATATATTAAAGTCGTGAGAACTCATGATGTGTGACATAAGGGCCGCTTCACCTTGAATCGGACCGATCAAGTTGAATCGAGGGCCGGATTGAAGATTGCAGATTAAGGATGCTGGAAGAACTTGTTCCGGGTTCTTCAATCTTCATTCCGGCCTTCCGATTCAACCTGCAGTGGATCGATTCAGCTTACATCGCTTGCATGAGCGAAGCGAATGAAAAGGGCAGAAGCGTGCACGAGAGGGGAATGAAAACGCATGTTTCGGTTCACCAATTTGGTCGTTCCCCCGTTTTATTGCATGGCCTCATTCTCGCTTCACTTTGTTTTTCAACCAAAGCCACGCAATACAAAACAAAGCCCCTATGATTGTAGTGCACGAGACAGTTAATCCGGGAACTAATCTGACTTAGACTGCTGTGGTTCATTTCTGAGCTGGGTTCCCTTCCTGTCTTTCAGCGCTCTCACTCGGACAGTCCAGGCGAGGTCAGTTCTTTTTGTTCGGTTCCTCTGTGTTTAAACCATTGAAAGAAGATCAGGAATGTATGCTTCATTTGCACTAATTAACACAAACACGAAACAGCATTCCCTGGGTGTTGGCTTGTTGGAAAAGGTGAAAAGAACCGAAATAATCAAAAGCGTGGTTTTTGCCTTCGTTCGTTCCTAATTTTGTCTATAATCTTATTTGCTTTTTGTCGTTTTCCTGGAGGGCCAAAGAAAATATAGACAGTGAAGTGGATGGTTTCGTGCGTGTCTTTTGCTTTGTTTATTGGCAACGATTGAAAAGAAAGCGCGGATGAAACCGGCGAAACACACGAACGAACCATGAACCAAGACTACCCTTTCCTCGCCTAATTCAAACTACTTCTGGCAGTTACATTGCCATTTCGTTCAGTTTCGCTTCATATTCTACGTCCAGATGGTTGACGTTGAGTTCTTACCAAGAAGAAGACAGCAGGGTTGCCTGTGCTATATTCAATGCAAGGGAAACAAGGCAAGGAAATGGCCGCGTGTTCATTTGTAGCAATCTAAAGCTGAGGCACCCAGTTCTTCGTAGCGGGTACAACTGAATTCTACCGAAACGATTCAATTCAGACAAAATCAGCAAATGCAGCTCGAAGTAGGCGTAATTCGTGCTTATTTTATTCTAAGGCTACGCCGCCCGCCTCGGCTTGACGGTGGCGGCAACATGTGTGTCTTTCAGTTTACACCCGAGCGACGGAGTCGCCGCTCTAGAATGGCCCGAGTCGTTGACATGAGAGAAGAAGGAGTGGGGGGGTCAGGGTAGGGAAGAGGGGGGGGGTGAGGGAGGGAGCACCGGTAAGGAGAGGACAGGGGAGCAGAAGGAGGGCGGGGGAAGAAGAAAACGCTATGCAAAAATGCAGGCTTGCGACCAGTGCAAACTTGTGGGGTTCGCTGTCCACATCCTGCTCGGTTAGGCTGATTGCCAGGCACAGCAGAAAGCGGTAACAGCGAGGGGCGGGAGGGGGGGAAGGGCAAGGGTGGATTTAAATTGGCTCTTGTTTTTCACCCATTTCGTTCTTTCGTGCTTTGCTTTTATTGATTTACATAAACACGCATACACTTATTCTTCGCTCATATTTCATTCGTAGTGTGCTGTCTGGCTGTCTACAGCAGTTTGCAGCACTCTTTGCCATTTAGGTGACAAATATTATTGGCACAACCAAGACGCAGCAGACGCACTTGAATGTAGATCTGGCACAATCATGGTGCCGCTTTCTTTGCAACCTAGACGTTGAATATTCATACCCAACAGCACACAAAACTGTCAAAAGGTAGGTCCCGAAAAGGGGGTAGCATACATATGTATATATGTATATATGTATATATGTATATATATATATGCATATATGTATATATGTGTATTTAAATAGAGATACATACGTACAAGTTATCGGCAGGTAGGGACTGTGAGGCAAGTTTGCTTGGGTGGCTGAAAGCATGACAGACCTTCGTTTTGATGGATGGATTGTCAGACACATGGCAGAGCAGAGTTTCAATTACTCAGTGGATTGCGAGTAATGCCAGCACTCAAACCAAGGCTGTTCGCAAGATCTGTCTGCCTTTTCCGTTTCAAGCTCTGATGCCTGGAAGGACTACTACTTGGAGCTTCGCTCTCAGTAGACAAGAAGTTGGTGACTATTTCTTGATGGAAATCAGCTGCCGCGGGGAGGCTCCCTCCAGTTTCTTGCTCCATGGAGAAATGGAGTGAGCTCGCTTGTTTGGCGCGAGAAGGCCAGGTGCGACTCTATTTTTTGTCTCGGGTACTGGACCCTACAATGTCACATGCCTCGGCCACTCTCGGCGCTTATCCAGCTTCAGCCTGTTGTCAGAGCATTGCAGAAGATGCTGTACCATGCAGGTGCCGTGGCCTGCTGCCCAACTGCTGCAGCATTTTTCGATGGGCTGTGCGAAGGTTTGGGCATTGGCCCCAGCACGCCATTCAGCTTTGCAAGTTGGCAAAAAGTCGCTTGTTCCAGGCTGGGACGTCTACGAGTCGCTCTTGGACTTCGAGGATATGCAAGAGTTAGTGACACAGATAAGCAGTCTGAAACAAAAGTGGGCGTTGCTGTTGTTGACAGATCTACACCCTTGAGCTGCAGCGCCGAGAGCGGGTGCAAGTATCGGCCCTGAATCACGACGACGATGTTCCGGGCATGCTCAAAGCTGAGGCTCGAATCCGTCCCCCGACCGACACTTCCAGCAGCTCCGACAGCCCCGGCTTCGGCAAGCATCTCCTTTCAGAATGACAAGATATGAGAAATCAGGTAGTGAGAGCTTGGTTCTCGATGCAAGCACTACAGAAGAGGCCATTGACGACCAGACTCTGAATTTGGAGTTTCAGATGGCCCGAGCAGGAATCTGAGGTCTCGGGCACCGGGGCAGTCGACACAGAGGCAGGGTTGGGACACAATGACATTAGATGCAAAGTTGGGCCAATGACTTTGCCTTGACAGGCCTCTGAGCCGTCAGGGAAGCGCAAGAAGCCGCACACTGGCCGATGCGCTCTGGCAGATTCGCCGGTAGCCCTCATGATTGTCATGCTTTTCGATGGACCAAAGCGCTGCTCTCTTCCGGGCGTGGCAATGCTCTAGGAACCTTGTTTGTCAAGAGGCCAGCCACTCCAGCTGTCAGAAAATCGAGCTTGTCTACTTTAGGCACTGGCTTTGCCATTGCCGGTGATTCGAGCAAGATCGGAGGCACAAGTGGGCAGTTGAGCTTGGACTGCTTGATGTTCGTACAGATAGAGTAGTTCCATTTTCGGACATGGTGCACCCTTCATGAAAATGTTTGGCAACGTCTTCATAGCTTCCAGCCAGGGCAGGATGTAATCCTTGCTGAAGAGGCTGAACTTCGTCTGTATCTACTTTTGCTAGCTAATCCATCGTGCACTCTGAGCTTGCTCTTTGTTGCCTCTTCGGATGTGTCTGGTTCAGCATTCAAGATCAGGAAGAGAGACAGAATCCATTGATGGCCCTTTGTTGGGTTCATTGGTACTCAGGAAAACCGCTTTTGAAAGCCAACAGAAAACCCTGTCATCGGACATCCAAGCAAAGCCACAGTGATCGTCCCTGTGATCACTCCTCTCGCCCCTGCTGCTTGTATCCAGTTGTCAGGTAGTCCAAAGCCAGAGAAGAGTCCGTAGGGAAAGCGGCTTCAGGGACTGAAGGCTTCCTTCCCAATGCTTCCCAGATGTTGTTAAGTGCTCACGAAATGAGGCATCTGTCCATGCAGTGCCTGTTGGCTCCGTTTCTGGAATCGAGGTCCGTCGCAATTTCCCTAGCAGTCTCAGCCAGGCGTCGGTGACGCTGTGCTAGTGTCACAAACAGTGGATCTTCCTGGGCTTCTTTACGGCCACTGGGCAGCACCCTGAAGACGCAGCGTCAAACCCCAGTGGCTGTTTCTCAGCACTTCCACCAGGGCTACTGATGGAGTGCGCCTCCTTTCCAATTCGGTCAGCGCGTTCCGTTCGAACAAATCTTGTCGCTGGCATCTTCTCAGGTTTTGGAGATTTCGACTGTGCAGTGGGCCAAGCTCCCGGGGTTCTAAGTTCTCTCTCTCTCTCTCTCTCTCTCTCTCTCTCTCTTGCCCCTTGCCCCTTGCCCATGAAATGAAATGGTGTTGTGCTTCCCTTCCGGATCGTGCAAGTGCATCATGCCAGCCACAGCTACTTTGCAACCCGGGCGGTTAACAAGCAAAGGTTCTGCGGCTACAGCTGCCTGGTTTGGAAATTCTGGCATACGACTGTGACGGCAGGTTCTGTGAGCTTCTGCAAGTCACGCCATCTGTGAAGACGAATCGTGTTGGAGCGTCTCAGGGAGCAGTGCTGTGGTTCAGGTTGTGCTTACATGTGCACTATCAACTGGATAGACGACCCAATGCTAACTAGATAAATCAGTCGTCGATGCCAAGCACTTCCCGCCCCCTTGTGGCTTGATTCGTCCTTTTCGCCACCTTTGCTAGGCAAGTAGGGCCTTTAGTGCAGAGTGCGTGTGACAGAGTTTTCTTATCTTGCATGCTGCAGAACTTGCAGGGTTTGCAGAGCAGCATGATAGAATCCGATTGGTCCCCCTAAGAGACCAGTAGCTGTCAGTTCTTCAAGCTTGCATATGACGGGACCATGAAACCTAGTTCTCTATCAGGCTGCGCTGACAGGTGCCTGCTTGTATGAGCCCGAAAAGCCTTTCTCAGTCGCGCATTTCTTTTTCGTCAGGCGCGCAGAAATCACTGGTATGTTGTTTGCCATGACTGTTCATGGAGTACGAAACTGATATGGAACATCAGGATCAATGGCACTCGGAGAAAATCAGGCCTACATGTGGCAATTGTGGAAGCAAGCCTTGCTGAAACAGGAATCTGAGGAATGCGAAAACGTGTGACACACGTGTTTGTTTTCGAGAACCGGATGTCGAGGAGGCCCTAGCCAAGCACAGCAGAGTTTCGAATCTCCTCAAGTTATGCCAGACACGAACAGATAATACGTGGTTGCAGGCGACAGGGACACTAGACTTCTAAGCCTGATTGGAGCACTCCCCGATTCGAGCACGACGATTGAAGTGCGCACGATTGCAGTGCACGCGCGATTCGACTCATTCAACAGCGATTCAATCACCGACGCGCCATCAAAGCACCACCCCACTGCACCACCATCTTCAAGCTCGTACCGCTCATCTAGTTTCCGGCTTCGAATCTGCCTTTCGATGTCTTTCAAGTGCGCAAATCGGTTCCTTGCCCGCGAAGCTTGCTGGGCAGGTTCTGTCCGGTGGGAATGAATTCTGCTGGCCTGGGAGTCTGCGTGTTTAACCTGCACGACAGGCTGGGCAAGGGCCTGAACGCAAGCTTAACTTTAGGCGAGTCAGCAGTGCTTGAAGGCAGACAGAAGGCTTCGAGAAGCCGTCGGTTAGCGTCCAGGCCTCCACTTCTATCGGTTCTTGCAAAGATGAACCGGTCTTGTATCAAGTAATCTAATCCAAGATTTGTTTTGGAGTTCTGCAGATGTCCAGCTAGAAATGCCTCCTCGCAGACCTTGGTCTGGGAACTACTGCTTTGTGGCCACACATTGCGCTCGGCACTGGCGTGGCTACAGCAACTGAAGCTGCCGCCAATGTGCCAGATCCCTGGATAGTTGTGAAGTGCCGCCAGGTAAGCTGTTGAAATTGCAATTCTTGGCAGTCGTGCCGTCGTTGCACACACCAGTGTGTATAGTTATGGTGCTGCAGCCGCCCTTGCTGCAGCCGCAGCGGTTGCTGCTGTTCTTGGAGCACTTTCTGCCGCTGTCCTTGTCATCATGACTCTCGGCATCCATGCCCCCATTCATCATCGGAACTGGACAAGCACGGACATTGCTCCGGGACAGGCGGCAGCGGACTGCTCCTTGTGGATGCGAGCGGCGCTGCCACGGTAGAGTTGAATCCGGGTGCCTCGCTCGTGTGCGGCTTTAGGGCAACTGGATTTTCAAGAGACCCAGATCTGAACTAAGTGTGAGGAGGGGGGGGGGTGTACATTTCTCTGTTGTGTGGCTTAAGTTTTAGAGTCTTTGTTACACGGTGGGGAGCTCCAGTCAGGGTGTTCGAGTGTCGAGTTTGGGCTGCAGAGTTGCAGACCGTTGCTCCCGCAAGAAGGTGATCTGAGCTGGTCAGATACAGAAGACCGAGTCTGACGGCCGTAAGCCCGACAGTCCTGCGATTGCTCCGCAGGGTCATTGCAGAAGCCTCCTACGCCTTAAAGAACAACCCCACAGATGGAGACACCATGAACATCCAATTCTGTATTTCAAGCCGCAGACGGTCGCAGTTGATCTGTTTTTGGTACATAGACCGGTGGCTCGAGAGTATATTATGTGGTCCTAGGCTTGCTAGTGGAACTTCTCATTTCGTGTCTCTTAACTTGCTGACACCAGAAACATGAATCTCCTTTCCAGCGCTCATGTGGGTGTTCGGTGTTCGGAGGGTTGTGCTGGCTGCTATCGCAACAGGTGGCCCTGTGATCGGCGATGTCCACCTGGAAGATCCCGTGTGCCTTCTCAGAGGAACATGTGAGTTTAATTCCAGGCTGACACAGCCTCTCCTTTCTGCAAGGTTCTGCGGGCCAACCATCCGATTCTGTCGAAGCCGGTGCCTGAGGTTAAGTCAGTCAGTGAGTCAGTGATTCAGTCAGTCAGTCAGTCAGTCAGTCAGTCAGTCAGTCAGTCAGTCAGTCAGTCAGTGCGTGTGCGTGTGGTTGTGCGTGCAAACGTTTGGCCGGATCAGAGCTTTACAGGGAAGTATCTTGAGCCAAGGTCTGCAACAACATTCGGAGCCGGCAAAAAAGCTCAGCGTGATTCGGAACGACGTCTGCAGGCGAGCCGCACGTGACTGTTACTGGTTTTGTCGGTGTTGTCCACCAGACCTTTCAGTTACTAGGCTTCCAAGCATGGTAACCGGCAGGCAGTGGAGGCGGAGCTGGAACGGCGAAAGGCCGGTACTGAGCATGGAATAATCCATGCAGATGGGCAGCCTGGCCAGGACGCAGATGCAAAGGAGCAGTTTGATGGCGGCGCTGCCATCTCTGTTCTGCGGTCCACATCCTAGACTGGCAGGAAGAAGCAGGCCTCTTTTTGGAATGTGTCAGCTGTGATACCAGGAAGGCCAAGAAGGTCAGAAATATTGCCACCCTGGCGGTCATTGGTCTCGATCTACTGCGAGGCTTCTGGCTACTCATGAGTCTTTATGGATTCGTCAGCCAAGCCCATGGATGTTCCAACCGTTGCAGGCCGGCTGCTTGTTGAGCGCCTGTCTCAGTTCCTATTTGACAAGGACAGAGATTGCGGTCCGCCCCTCTGTCGCAGAGAAGTGTCTGAAAGCAGTGTGCTCGAGGTTCCGAGAGCGGCAATCGGTGTCAAACGTCGAGGCTGCGCGATTTGCTGTGGAGTTTGGCTTGGTGCCTGGACCTCAGGCCGTCACAACTACATTTGGAGCTCTTGTGAGCGCACATCAAGGTGATGACATCTGACCTTCAAATCTGGAAACACAGAACAGACAGAATCTCTTTGGAAATCTCTGGTGCTGGCAGAGCGAGACCAAGCGCAAGTTTCACACCCCACTTGTTGTTTTCGGAGCACTGGCCTGGCTCCTCCTGTCCTTCGCGATGTCGCGACCGAACCCCTCCAGCCCTTTCAAAAACGCCCGCTGCTTGACTAGTTGACTAGTGGACTCGGCTAGGAGAAGAGCCTCTCCCTCCAATTCCCTGGTTCGGGGGTCCTGTGCGCTGATTGGGAGACTCGTTACATCTTGTTACATCTTGATACTTTTTGTCTGCTTGCTTTCCACTAGCGGACTCGCCAGCGATATGAACATTGCTGCTGGTCTTTGCAGTTGGTTCTTGAATCATTCTTGCTGTGCATCTGAGGCCCAAGATTGTGGATCGTGCCCTGTTGCAAGGAGGTCTCCAGATGGACCCCGGCTCAGCCCATTCGTGGAGAGTCTAGCCGTGCCACATCGTGCCACAACAGCTGCCTTGTACTGCCCTCAAGCTCCAGGAGACCAAGAGGCCTCGCATGACCAGCGGTGAATCAGGGCTTCACGTCACCCGTTGGGCTCGACATTGCTTTTCGTTCTCGACAGACGAGGAAAACCAAGGGCCGGCCTGCGTGAAGCATGGTCTCTGTGCCGCACCAGCTTTGCAAGCGCATGCAAGCGCATGCAAGCGCTTTGCGGCTGCTTCGGAATCTGCACCAATCACAAAGTCACAAAACGTGACAGGTCCACGCTGTGCTGCGCGATGCGGAGGTTCACGGCATTTCGCATTTGTTCTGTTCTGCGAATGCCTCCGCTTAGGTGCATGGCCTAGCTGGTCTACAGAAACTTCTCACATGCTTTTCGTTCGGGTTCCTTTCGGTGAGACTCCAATTTGTGTTTGACGGCGGCCTCTGTGTATCTGGTGCATCCGCCAGCCAAAGCGTTCATGGCCAGGCCATGATCCCTTCCACCAGCACGTCCGTCGGTTCGAGCAGCCATGGTGCGGTCATGACAACGTCTTCCTCTGCTCATCGTGCTGGGCTAGTTCCTTGCTTACATTTCCGTATGGCTGGCTGGGGTATCCTGGAGTTGCATGGCTTTGCCATGGGAGCCTGTCAACAACGATTCCCAGTTTGTGCGTTCACTGGGCTGCATGTTTGGATATTTTTGGACGCTCAAACTCTCACAGCCTGCAGAGCAAGGGTCAAGGTGCGATGCGCGTGAAGAGGGGAGGCCTGTGGATTCACATCGAGCTCGTGCGATCACGAGGGGTAGAACTCTGATCGCAAGCCCTTACTGCCAACAAACACGCGGCAACGAATCGTCCCTGGACTGGCTTGGAGCAGTGCAACATGGACTAGCACCCTGTTCCAACGATTTGTCGCTAAATGTCATCCCTTCTGCTGGCCGTTGAAGCTGTCTTTGCCGAGAGGCATCTATGTGTCGTGTTCAGCTTCGAGATCTGTTGGGTTCGGGAGTTGCTGCAGCATCACCCCGAAGTTATCGTTTCCTTCCTTGCATTTGCCTGCCATTCGCTGCGTTTTTCAGCCGTGTCCTTCGAAAGTGGATGTGCGCACGGCCGCTGCTTGATTTCGTTCGAACGCCATGCTCCGCTTTGCTACGATGTTTGTCTGCATCCCCATTCGCTTTTGTTCGCTCAGCTTGCAACGGACTGGCGAGCAGACTTGGGAGGTTGGTGCAATCATGCACAGTGGTGCGCCGATTACGCTCCATCTCTCCGAGGGTATTAAGTGCAGGCCTCAGGCTGTTTGTCGCTTGCCGCACAAGTACAAGCAAGTAAGCACGGAGGCAATGCACGCAAGCAAGCAAGCAAGCTAGCTAGCTAGCCAGACAGCTAGCAAGTACGCACGCAAGCAAGCAAGGGTTCCAGCAAAACAACGGCCACCACCACCACCACCACCACCACCACCACCACCACCATTACCACCACCACCACCATTACCACCACCACCACCACCACCATTACCACCACCACCATTACCACCACCACCATTACCAGCACCACCATTACCATCACCACCATTACCACCACCA